ATAAACCATATACAGATAACATATTAAAATAATAAAAAACAAATAATTTATATAGTAAACTAGGGAAATCAAGCCAATTACCGAAATTATGGATTAGATTCAGGGTTTCAGGATTCATAGAGCATGTAGATTAACAGATAGTTGCCTGTTTTTAAAGTTAATGCATAAGGGTGCGGCCAGAGTGCACTCAGATTCAGATTCAGATTCAGATTCTGAAAACAAGCGCGAGAAATAAACAGTGTAGTCGAAGGGTACGGCCAGAGTGCACTCCTGATTCAGATTCAGATTCAGACTCAGAAAACAAAGCGCGAGAAAAAGCAGGCAACCTGCTTAGACTACACTGTTTATTTCTCGCGCTTGTTTTCAGAATCTGAATCTGACTCTGAATCTGAGTGCACTCTGGCCGCACCCTAAGGCCGTATACAGAAAGAAAGCCGAAAGCCGATCGGCGCCGATCGGCGCTTATCGGCGCCGATTCTTCCTACATAAAGGAAGCCGATTATAGCAGATCAAGCAAAATGTCGGACTCATCGGACGATGATTTGGTTTTGTTAGGAAATGTTTATTTAAAAATGCGAAAAACAGGTATTCATCCTATAAATAGAGAAAGGAAACGTTTCGGAGAATACCATCATTTATTTGTTAAAGAATTGAAATTTGATCATCAAAGATTTTATGCATATGCAAGAATGACTAAAAAAACATTTAATTACATTTTCGATTTAGTGGAAAACCGTTTGATGAAGAATTGGTGTAATTGGCATAAACAACCAATCCTTCCAGAAGAAAGACTTGTTGTCACCATTCGGTAAGTACGAAACAAATAATTTTAGCGCTTAGTTAATAAAAGATAAAGTTATTAGATTTATAAAAAGATTATAACTTAGATTGATTTAATCTAAGGATAATAATTCAAATACAAATTATTTATAATTCGACAATTAGGCGCCGATCAGTACGGCGCCAACGCCCTTCGAGGTATCTATGATGACATTTTATGTCGCACGCGTCACAAATTCTTCGAGTGCATTTATCGTAAACCGGCTGGATATACTAAATAAATATTTCCAACACTCACACCAATTAGCCTAGCCCCAAAGTAAGCACTATCAGGCTTGTGTTACATCGATAAGTATATTTATATAGAAATAAATATTAAACATCCATGACTGGAGTACATATGCTCATATTCATTACATAAACATCTGTCCTCACCGGGATTCGAACCCGGGACCTCTCGAGTCGGCGACACCATGAAACACGGCGTTTAAACCCCGCGCGGACCGTTGGACAGTCGAGATTTCGCAGAGCTCCGTGAAAAAATGCGAAATAAATACTAAAGTGTCATTTTCTCGACAGGTATCTAATAAACGTTTGTTAATTTAACGCATTGGAAGCAAATTTTGTTCTAATACTTACTATAAACTGATTTAATAGAAAATATTTGTGATATTGAAATGCATGGTCGGTAATATAGCTGTCTCTTTTCCTCACGGTCCGTATCTGTTACATTGCGAATAGCGCATTCAGAACTGCGCGTAAAATCAAATGAATAAGGTGTATATTCTTCCGCATATAGCAATAAATTCGTAAAATTCTACCTTGCTTGCATTTTGAACTGTCATAACTCTGACGCATACTTTTTAATTAAGACCTTAAAAAGTATGCATTAAAGGTGACTTTCAATGATTAAATAATGCCTTATATTGTTTTTCACTACGCGATCAATTTACTCCGTGCTTAGTTCCGTGGATCGTCCAATGTACCTATTAGACAGGTTTCGGCCACGATTTTGTTCGTGAGGTTGTATCTAGGGTATTTAATATCGTTGAAGGGCTCTTAAGACATAGGTAATATTTAAATAAAGAAGTTGTAATACTTAACCGATTTAAATGTTCACTAACTTTATGTAAGTCGACAAACTAAAACAAAATCAATTAATACCTACTCACCGTCTTCATTCATGGCCTCGCCTATTTCTTTCCAACATTTGTCAACCACGTATCTATTACAGTGCCTTTTGTCGGTTTTGTCCCACAGAGGTTGTTTAGTGAATACTAAGGATATCAAAATGTCATTATCCATTTTTCTACTTAAAAAATAATTGCGTGTAGTAATTGACGTACCTGTTGTCGTTGTTTATTAATTTAAAATTGCAGCTGATCAGCGCGAGTCGGCGCCGATGGGCGCCGATCGGCGCTTATCGACGCTTATCGGCGCCGATCGGCGCCGACCGGCGCTGGTCCATAGAAAAAGGATCAGCGCCGATCGGCTTTCGGCTTTCTTTCTGTATACGGCCTAGGAGTAACTTTTAAAATCAGGTGTCATTTTCGGTTATAATAAGGTACTCTGTGACAGAAACTGTGTGATGATCATGTGATGATTGTGAATGAGCCACAGATTAGAGTGAATTTTTAAAATCTCATTAACCAAAGAAAGCTAAGAGATTTAGGTTCTTTAGCCATATATTCAGTAGCTTCATTATTTTTGTTATGTTTTTAAGATAACCATATTTTAGATTTTTAGTGTATCACACCTTATAATTTTATTTATTTATTAATTTATAGTCAGGGAATGTAGGCCCATAGATAGATACCTTAAAGTCTAACATATATACGGATTATAATGTGTTTATGGAGGTGTTTGGCGAAAAATGTATGGCAATAGACTTTATGATGTCGCCTACTATCTATAATAATTGTCTGAGTACATTTGCATCTAGTGAAAATGATAATATACTTAGTTGTGGATGTTAATACCACAGTGTAATAAAAAATTGATTTATTTTATCGATCTTTACAAAATAAATTTGTTTTTATGTTATATAAACAACTTCGATCAGTCTTTGGCTGAATGTTACTACACCCATAGCCATTAAAAATGATTCGTATGTTTTCCAAACCGGTAAAATTAAAAGTCCTTTTTGAAGTAAATATATTATACAAATGTGTCCGTTGAAATGTAATGACTGTAAATCAAATTATAAATTACGCCAAGAATTACCTTGTCTGTCAATATTTTTTGTGCATTTGGGCCAATTTGAGCAATCTCCTTTGCATTTACTGACTCCAGACAACATGGAACAGAGAGCGTCTCGAATCATGACGCAGTGTTTATTGCATGCGTAAAACTCGTGGTTTTGTAGTTTCGTGACAAAGGAAATTAATTCCTTTGTTCTAATCTTAAACTTAACACACTTAATTGTAATCTTAAACTTAACACATTTAATTTTAATGTTATTTAATGCGACTACGTTCGAATCATAACTACTTATACTTTTAATACTGTAATTTCAATACAAAAAAAAATGGTTGCCTGTAAAGTCGGTTTTACGGGCGAAGATTTTACGTGACAACGTCTTTTTCTCGGTAGAATATTTATTGATATGAATATAATTAAATTTCACAATGGGAACAAGGAATTGAATGAAAATAAGAATTGCACAAATTTTAACTATAGAAATATATTTTGTTTACTAAAACATTGTACATGTAAACTTAAACTTAACACGAGAGACTCATCGTAACGTTACCGAGCGTTACACTTTTTCATAAGTGACTCCCAGCCGCAACCTAATTTAAGACGTTGTCACGTCAAAAAGGTATTAAAATATCATGAAGAAATCGTTCCATGGATTAGAACCTATATGTATTTTTTAGTACAGTCTTATGCAAAACCATATTATATGTGTGTACTATGAGTTTACTTGGATTTATTATAATTAGAATGTTTGAACTATTTTGCACTTAAATGCTTCGGGACGGGAGAGTAGTAGAAAGAATTATATTACAGTCAGTCTGTAGGTTGAGTGGTGAAAAAAAAACCTAAAGGGTAAGTCTTGTTTTTCTGTTGCCAAATGACGTCAGTATGCCACCTTGGCGAAGGACAGGTTCAACTCGTAGGCTTTTTTGAAAAACTCAAAAAAACCGTCAAAATTTTTTTGAAACGCATTTTTTGTTGTTTTGTATGCATTTTAGAAACTTTTTTTTCGACCATAATTGTAGAAGGCGTTGAGTACTACAATTTATGTCATTGTTGCAATCTCGTACAACAAAAAATGCGCATTGTAGGTGGCGCTAAAGTCTCAAAAAAAGTGTTTTTTCACTTTTTCACCCTGAAAATATTATTTTAATGGAAAACTTTAAACTTTAAACAATTTTTTTGTATTACTTACCGTTTTCAAGTTATAAATTGCGCAGGTATGAAAAATCCAATAGAGCGGTTTTGGGCAGTTCAAGTACACATTTGCAGTGCACATTTCAATGTACGTTTTTACTATTTTTTTTTCAATCATGAAAATAAATAAAAATAAAACAATTTTTTTTTTATTTTTTTTGTTTTTCAATTACGAAAAACAATAAAAAATAGTAAAACGTACATTGAAATGTGCACTGCAAATGTGTACTTGAACTGCCCAAAACCGCTCTTTTGGATTTTTCATACCTGCGCAATTTATAACTTGAAAACGGTAAGTAATACAAAAAAATTGTTTATACAAAAGTTATTGGTAATTATGTACGAAACAACTTTGCCATTTAAAGTTTTCCGTTAAAATGATATTTTCAGGGTTCTTTCAGGTTTTCACTTTTTCAAGTGAAAAAACACTTTTTTTGAGACTCTAGCGCCACCTGCAATGCGCATTTTTTGTTGTACGAGATTGCAACAATGACATAAATTGTAGCACTCAACGCCCTCTACAATTATGGTCCAAAAAAAAGTTTCTAAAATGCAGACAAAACAAGAAAAATGCGTTTCAAAAAATTTTTGACGGTGGCTTACTGACGTCATTTGGCAACAGAAAAAACAAGACTTACCCTTTAGGTTTTTTTTTCACTGAAACGATATTTTCTTCGACAGATTGACTGTACTATTAGTAACGAAACGCTTTTAATCTTTTTGACAGATTGTAAAGCTGTCATTAGTGACAATTCTTTTGACATCCGTCGCAGACATGTGTCATTCTTATGATTTTACTTTATACCATTTTCTCTCGAAATGAAGATAAAGTTTAATCTAATATCAGTTTTTATGACGATAATTATTACAAAATGACCAATAGTTTGCTTAAAATCATATCTCAATTAGTATTCAGTGCTTCATGTTCCGTAGAATATAAGCAGTTTACATGCATTCCACTTTAAATCAAAAAGCAAACAGTTACATTGTGGAATTTTACACAATAAAAGTGAACAAAACACCAGTGAAAAAAGCTGAAGCTAGTCATAATTTGTCTCAGTGAATTATAAATATGCTATAAAAATACCTAAATATTATGTACGACTACGACGAATTGGAAGATAGAAAAATGAAGGGTCTTAGAGATTGGCGCAAAGCGTTAAGAACACCAGCCACGTACAGAGTGGGCAACGCGGTTAGAATCCAACCACAGTTTGTTCTATTGATAATACTTGTTGGTGTCTTCATGTTAATACTTTTCTATTATAATTGGTGGACAAGCAGCCATGTACCGACTGTCCATAAATGGATAAACACTATTAGACCTTACAATGCAACATATCCACTCTCAAAACCTATTGGGTCAGGTGATTTAGTTTCATATAGAATAGGCATAGTTACAGATTTAGATACTAATTCAAAGAGTTTGGTGAAACCTCACACATACAATAGTTACCTAAAGAAAGGTTTCATAAGCTATCACAAAGTGAAGAACTATGTTGCCGTGTCTTGGGACCCAGTGTCACCCATACAACTATCCTCAACTTATTCACACAAAGGTAGAGGCATGGAACTTTCAGAACTCATTGTTTATGATGGCAAACTACTTTCATTTGATGACAGATCCGGAATGGTATGTAACAGATTATAGCATTAGTTTAAAGAAGACATAAAATTAACAAGTTAATTGTTTCTATTATTAAAAGCTGATTTAAATAAGGTGACAGTGGCTAGTTCAATGCAATGCTTTATCAACTATGTTAACATTAAAGATGTAGTCTTATTTTTTAACATGATGTTGAAGATTACTTAGGTTTAAAAAAAACTCACAATATTGATTTAACTCATTCATTCAGAATATCAGAATAAACTTATAATTCATATGAAATTTTTATTACTTATTTAAATTAGTACATTTAAAATAAATATTATAGTTTATTGGGTATTGAATATGTTGATCTTTTGAATCTCTAATTATAGGACATTAAAATCAGAAAATTTATAGGTCTCAGTAAACAGGAAAACTGAGACTACTGAGATGTCAAGAAACTGCTTTATAATAAAAATGTTCAACTAAGTTTTCTACAACATAATAATTATTGTTGCAGGTGTTTGAAATACTAAACAACAAAGTTGTACCATGGGTGATCCTAACAGATGGAAACGGATATGCAGAAAAAGGCTTTAAGTCTGAGTGGGCCACTATAAAAGATGAGATTCTGTATGTCGGTTCAATGGGTAAGGAATGGACTACAGCAAGTGGAGAGTTTTCCAGCTATGACCCTATGTGGGTGAAAGCTATAAATATTCATGGAGAGGTAATCAATCAGATTTTCTTGACATTTAAGATCCATATTTTTCTTAGTTTATAATAATTTTATTTTGAGCTAATATATCTAAAAAAAATTAGTTGAATAATTTACTGCCTGGGTAGCAGACAGTGCAGGTTCAAATCCTGTCTGATGCCTGTACTGTGTGGATCTTCTTCTAAAATATTCTTTAATAATATCCTGTTTTTTACCTATCATAGGTTCGCATTTGGTCAGATTTGCAAAGGGAGGGATTCTCATTTCGCCCGATTCGTACAGTAATATGAAGAAATATAATGAAATAATAATACATTTATATTTCCAGTCTTGGTTTAAAAAAATTACTTGCAATTTGTTATCAAGAAAAACAGGGTAGGTACTTAGGTACAACACATTGAAGGTTAGCATTACTGACTTAACAAGAATTTTAAAAAAGCCAGCTTTGCATTTATTTTTGAGATTGCTGAAGAAGGAGACTCTGTTTTATTACGCAAGATTAAAACTACTTCAATTAAATCCTGCATTAAAAAATTGTCCAAGTGACATAAAAAAAAAAGAACAAATTGGAAGAATTGTTTATGATTGCATAAGTAATAAATTTTCTTTGATGGATTGTTTACACTTTAGAGTGAATGTGTATGTTGGATATTAATTAGTTTTTTCCAATTTTAAATTAATTCCTTTTTTGTCTGTATTTTAAAAATAAAACTATAGCAGAAAAAGCCTTGGGGTTTTTCCTGTAAGCATTTTACTTGTTAGCTGTATTCTGGTGAAATGAGAATCTGTCCTTTTGCGAATGTGACCAAGGGCAAACAAATGTTTTAGATCATAGTGACTGCAGGAATATAGGATGGAAAGGAATATAGGAATATTGATTCATAATATCAATAAATATTAAAAAGAGACAACAAATACAGAAATCCCACATATTTTGTTTAAAGTCTGTAAAAAAATGGAAAGTTCTTGATTATTCTTTAAGTTTGCATGCATGATTATATATTTGTTTTTAGGTCCAACACTTAAACTGGGCATACCAATACAAAGCCATAAGAAGTTCCATAGGAATAAAGTGGCCAGGTTATATGATACATGAATCTGGAGTATGGTCACCCATCAAACAGAAATGGCATTTCCTACCAAGGAGATGCAGCCATGAGACATACAATGAAACCATTGACGAACTCAAAGGTTGTAATTACCTAATAACAGCAGACAATGAATTTAAACACGTACAAGCAGTTGAGGTGGGTATTTTGAATCATATTGTACTTCCTACTAATATGAGTATTAAAAGTGTGAATGTTTGTTACTCAATCATGCAAAAACTATTGAGCGGGTTTAGATGTTTGGTACATTTCATAGATTATGACCTGGATCAAGACATAGGATACTTATTATCCTGGAAACATGTAGGTTCCAGTGTCATTCTCAAAAAACTAAAGTTGATGCACAGGAAGTCGCCACTAGTTATATCAAAATAACATAGCATTACTTGTATATTTTTTATAATGTAAAAGAAATCATACCCACAAAATAGATGTATTTAATCGTATTATTACAACAGATTAGATTATAGTTACTATGTAACTATTGCTACTTCCTATTTAATGAAAAAATAATTTAATTGTTACAATACCATTTTATTGACATAGATAATTGTTTTAATGCTTTTAATCAAATTCTTTTCTGTAAATATAGATTACTAAGTACTATAAGGTTCAATTTACTCAATCTCTTTTCCCAGATCACGAAACTTCAACCGAAACATGGTTTCTCTTCATTCAAGTTCATTCCTGGGTCGAATGATGAAGCCATTGTAGCTCTAAAAACAACAGAGTTTGAAGGCAAAACTGCGACGTACATAACTGCATTTAAAACTGACGGCACAGTGCTACTGCACGATACTCTTGTTGAAAATCTCAAGTATGAAGGCATTGAGTTTATATGAGATTGTCAGATGAAGCATAGAAAATATCGTAATTTATATTAAATCAAATTGAAAGTTGTGAAATCACATGTAAATATATAAAAAAATATACTTAATATTGTTTTGTTATATTTCGTTTTAATTATGGTCATGATTAGGGTTGCAACGATATATCGGAATATCGATAATATCGAGATCAAAATATCGATATTTATATCGATATTTAAAATTCACTGATATCGATAATATCGATATCGGAAATTCCAAAATATCGATATTTCGTAGACTAAATTTAAACACAATAATATCAATAAATTTACCTGCTATGACTATCTAAATTGAATAATATCGAAATAACTATTGCTTTGAAATCGCAAGAGCTTATAGATGTATTAAAAAAATCTTGAACCCCAAGAAATATACTAAACTGGTGTGGATTCTGGCATGATTCTCTCAACCTAAAATTAAAATTGACAACAGTGTATCCTTGTCATTCTGTATAGAGAATGACAAGGATACTGGAGAGGAGACTGATGTTAAATTTAGTTTTAAGTTTAGATAATCATGCCAGAATCGACACCAACGTATATAGGTATAATCGTATACCTAATGGTAACTCATGAACTTAAATAAAATCTTTGCCTCTCTTTCTAGATAATTGTCAACTACTGATTAATTGAAATTAAATATCATTGTAACATAGCACAAAATAAAATTAAGAATCTTATACAAATCGTAAATTTTTAAGCTCGCCAAGTCAAGAAAGTGAGATAGATATAGTAATTTTTGAAGCTTTAGGCTTACCCTATTCTGAAGCCATGGGCACGCCCCTGATGTGTGGGAGACTAAGCAATTTGCGTATTTGATGTGCGCTAAAAAACCGACATAGCTTGGAAAAGCACGAATGTAGTGAAAATTTAGGCAGGGAAAAGGCATTCGCAAATGTCGTCCCACATATGCGGGTTGGCGCATTCGTGCTAACAAATGTGAGTGATCTGATCAGGATAATAATTTTAATTTTTTGGTTTCCTGTCGTGGCTGAAACACAAACCGTACGAGCCAAAAAAAATCCTGCTTGGCGCGATTTCATCAAGCGTGTTTAAAGAAAAAGCTGGCTCAATGCATTTTGCGAGAAACTCGCCAACAAACATATGAATGTGTCACACTCACCCCGTATTCTAATGTTTATAAAAAAAAAAGAAAAAAAATATCGATATATCGATAATATCGAGTTAAAATGGTCGATATATCGGATATCGATATTTTCCTGACTTCGATATAAATATCGATATTTCAAAAGACTTTGCATCCCTGGTCATGATCATGGATTTTGTATATAAACCATAGACGTAGGTATAAAAATAAGTAGACTCACAATCGCGCTCAAAAAGTGTCGATAGCAAAATTACGCACATTTGTCTATTGTGGGTAATATTTTAAACAGTCTTGTTTGAAAATTCTCGCTCGTATACAACAGATATTGAACCTAACTGCCACGACATACCGTGTTAATTTGAACAAATGTTAATATTATCTGTATAAGTTGAGGTAGAACGCTTCTTGTATGTTTTTTGATGCGCTTTTGTTAGGCTATTGGGAGTCTACTCGTTTTTATACGTCAAAATATAAATATAACATTAGCAGAACCCAATAGATTGTGTCCTGCCTGATGTACCTAGTCCAGTTGTAAATCTAAACTATACAGGAACCATTCAAGTATGCACACATAAAACTTCATCCAAATCAGTCCAGCCATTCAGGAGGAGTTCTATATCACGGACAGAAGAAAATAAATATCCATACTTAAATCCACTTCGGCTCAGTACGAGTTTGATTTTCACGAAAAAACGAATAAAACGTAAATGTTATAGATTTTGCACCACTGTATATGGCAGCGCCTTGAGCGCCTCTAGCGGACAGTGGCGTAAAATATACTTATCGAAATAACGTCGCGATGCGTAGTTTAATGTTTTTTTTTTATAGCGAAGTAGGCAAATGACTACCCCACCTGATGTTATGTGGTGATAAAGTCCAAACGCGATGATAGTTGGCACAGCAATTATAACGTGTATTCCGTAATATATACCAGTATACTGGCCAGTGCTAATGACGTCATGAATCTACGCTATACTGGTGAATTGTTCTGAAATATATTGGTCAGTGCACTGAGGTCTTAAATCGACGAAATATTCAAAATAGTGCGAATAAAGAAGATTGTTTTATTCACCTCATCAATTAAAAGGAATTATACCTAGTCAGGTCATATATTCTGTCACATGTTTATAAAATAATTGAAACAAGTTTATTCATTATGTAACCATTTATATACCAAAATGAACTTAACAAAATATAGATTTTTATGACAATAAAGTTTATTCAAAATGACCTCCGTGATTTTGAATAAGGCCTCGTGATTTAAGTTTTTAACACCCTCGCTACGCTCGGGAGTAAACCTCGAGTACTTCGTTACGCTCGCGATTTAAATCGTCACCCGCGACAGAAGACACTGCTTTATCGCATTGGTTAATAATCTACTATTTCATCCGAAAAAAGAATTTCCTAATATTTTTTACCCGCGTACCGCTTCAACAAAGCGCGGCATCTATTCAGTCCCAGGTCCGTTAGACGAGCATTCAAACGATGTCCTGTTTTTCTTCGATATGCCCGAAGCCCTAAATCTTTTCACCGTGGTTCTGCTTAACTCCATCTGAAGGGCCAACAGTTTCTGCTTACGTTTGGGATTTCTTTGAATTCGCGCCTTCACAGCTTTTATCACTGCTGGAGTCCTAACAGTCCAAGGGCGACCACTTCTTGACCTGTCATCTACACTAGAGTCTTCATTGTATCATTTGATGGTACGATAAACGAATCTTTTGGTTATATTAAAATTTTTCAGTAAGTCCCCCTTGTCAGCAAAAGTAAGAGCTTTGCTTACTTTTGTTGACAAGAGCGAGAAGGGGTTAATAATTATAATAAATCTGCTTACGTAATACTTGAACCTTGTAACAAAAGCTTTAAATAAATTATAGTTTATAGTTAACTTAAAAGGCTGACAGCTATCTCTGTCAACGGATCAGCCTGGATGGGAAGGCTGCCAGCCTATTGGGCACCATTCCTGATGGCGGCGCTATAGGTACAAGAACTATTAATTCACAATATCTGTCACACCTATTTATAGACGACACTTTTAACTAAGTAACTAAAATCGATTAATTAGCAGGTATAGTGGTCGTGAAAAACAAAATACAATATGCATTTCTGTTATATTCAGTGCAATTTCAAAATGCTAATAGGACTCCTTTTTCCAATCTTGAGTTCTGTAATCCAAAGCCGAAGATAAATAAAAACAAATATTAAAATAATCATTTATTTATTCATATTATCACATTTTACATCTAAAATAAAACATGTTTTAACGTGGAAATAGTTACAACAATTATATATAACAACTGAATAAAAATAAACATTGACGTTTGTAATGTTAAATATGTAACAATCTCTATATAGAATCCGGTTCATTAAATGGATTATATAAACAAAATACACCGCACTTTTTATAACAAAGTAAAAGAGGAAAAAAACAACACGGCCACTAATTAAAATAAAAAAGAAATGTGATTAATCAAAATAAAGTAACTACATTAATGTAGGTATATTCGATTATGAAAGCATAACTAGGAACATAGCACCCGATAACGCGAACCATACACGATCCTCGCCTTTACACAAGGGTAGAATTATTTGAATGTAGCAACATCCACAGAACTCTTTCACGATTCGGTGGTTAAGGGCAACACTCACTATAACTACCTAGGTATAAATCAAAGGAATCAAACATTATCAAGATTGAAAATTGCGATGTTTTGTGTCATTTTAAGCCTATCGTACGAGTTATTTCTTCAAACACAGTCCAAGCCATTGCAGCCATTAGGGTCCTGCGCAGCATTCTAGGTACTGCTCCCTTAAAATAGCCTTTGACTCCGTATGTCTGTAACAATTAAAAAAAAAAACACTTACAACCAAATGTCAAAGACTGAAAATAATTTGATTGTGCGCAATTACAAGAATCCGTCTTGATTTCATTGGAATTGCGATAATCTTTGACCACTACCAACATGGAGAATGTACTCATGATACATAAATAAATCGTTATACAGCAAAAAATGTCCCCGGACCCACACAAGGGGTATTCACGTGCTAGAGCCGTGTATTGTTATACACTTACGATAAGAGTGAACTGCGCAGTTAGAGTTAAAGATTTATGTTTTACTCCTGAAATAGCAGAATAGTAGGTAAATAGAGCGAAGTACAGACTGAATGAGTATGTTTTTGCCATTTCTAGGCTTTCAACTTAACTTCAATGACTTCATACCATAAACATTTACAATAATTAGAATGGATCGAATGATCCTTGTCTAACTGTAATTGGGCAGACGAGTGTTAGAGAGACGAACGATCATGCGGCCAATAGTTTAATACAGATAGTAGTTGCAAGAGTAGCTTTCTCTCTTTTTAAAATTAATTATCTTCATGCGGTATCGCTCATTCATTGTACATGTCTATGCTTTATATAGATATGTCTATTATCGAGATCAATCTATACTTTCGAGTGATGAGCTTACTTCTACTGTACTTTTTAATGTATCTGGTTCATAAATACCTAAGTAGGTAATTATTTACAATCGATTCTGATACCCTATTGTCATACAAGGGTGGCAAATCATTGGGTAAAATAAGTCTTTTAATGTTCGTTTTTGTTTTCTATTAAGAAATTGGCGGTGCCTTCAACCTTACCTACAATATTTAGATTTTCCATACCCTAATTTGGGAACTGGACATGCTACTTGAAACTTTGTCAGCAGGCTCTTCTTTTCATTCTTTACAGAACATGCTAAAGTTAAATTTCAGCCAAACAGCAAATGCAAGGAGACTTGTGTAGTGCTAGACATGATGATACGTACTAATAAATTAACCGGCACTTCATATAGCTTTATACAGGGTTAATTTTAAAATACCGGTAACCTCGCAGGAATAGATTGCTAACATCATGCGCGTTTGTTCTACGACTTTTGACATAACTCAATACTTTGATCAATAAAAAAATTCTAAGTTTCATCCGCTATTCCACGTGTCTGTAGAGTTAATAACATTCGGGCGGTAAATTAATTTAATATTTATTTTTGTATGAAAATAAAATGTAAGGAATTTTCAAAACTCGTAGAACAAACATTATTGTGTATGATGTTAGCTATCTAGTACTGCGAGGTTACCGGTATTTTAAAATTAACCCTGTATAGATATTTGCTATTTATAAACTTATCTTTTTACCTTATAGACTATATTAAGGAGAACCTGTTCATCATCAAAATGACATATGAAGGGCCCGAATAATATAGATTATAGTGTTTAGCCCGAATAATTTACCTGGTGTACGTATAGAGCCGCGCTAAAAGCATTCGGGAACTTGTCCGGGTATAGCTGCATGTTAGTTTTGAGGACGTCCGCGGGATTGGTGACCAAAGATGCCGCTATGCCGGCCACGATTCCACAGCTGAAATGTACCGCGCTGGCGGCACTGGGCGATTGTAACCATTCTAAAGAAATAAAAATAACATTTACTTAGAATGACGTATCGAGAGTACCTATGCCCTATAAACTATTGGCTTTTGTTGTGTTGTGGTCATAAGTATCAAGATTAAGGAATCCTAGAGAATTCATACTGGGTATTAAGTTGTAGGTACCTATAACAGAAATACACAAAATCATATTATAAATGCGAAAGTGAGTTTGTTTGTTTTTTTATTTGTTTGTTACACTTTCACGCCTAAACTAGTGAACGGATTTGTTACGCATATACTAGCTTATGACCTGGGGGTCAATTGCCTAGCGGGATTACTAGGGATATCGCTATCGCTTACAATTTCATTTTGTTATTTCTGACCCCCGAAGGTTTTCAAATACCTTACGCTCATTTTCTTTAATATTGTTATTACTAGTGCAAAAGAAAAAAAAACGTACGCGAGGCATTTCAAAACCTTCAGCGGTAACAAATAAAAAAATGAACTCGTAAGCGATAGCGATAGCAATCTCGTTAGCCGATTGGCCCCCCCCATTACAAAGACAAAGGATATATTTTATCCCGGAAAAGTGTTAGATTCCTGAGGGATTTTCAAAAAACTAAAGTAAACGCGGACGAAGTCGCAGGCGGCTACTAGTACTTAATAAACGAAATATTTGGATATCATTATGAATATTTCAAAGTGATTTTTTGATGATTAGAAATATGTACCAAACTTTAATATTTTGAAGGTTTTCGGTTTAGTTTAAAAAGCAAAACAACGCAACTGACATTTTTTATTGTTTACGTAGTTATTCGAAATCAAAGCTTTGCACAGGAAAAACGAATTTATGCTTGGTTACGTACAATACTTTTACGTAACTAGAAAAAATGTTTCCACTTAATTCAAAGATAAGATAGTGGTTTTATTAAACAATAAGTTTTCGATGCAGAATCAAGATAATGAAACTGTAACGTCGCAAATAAAATATATCAAAGTGACGTACTAATCCCTAGCGCAAACATTTCTATATGCTTATGTATGTTTTAGTAAGATATACTTTTTAAATAACATGATTACAAGTCTAGACATTTGAAGCTACACTATTTGTATAATAGTCAATAGCGAAATAACATTTTTTGTTCTAATAACATTAATAATATAATTTAGGTAAGTGGGAGTTATCTCATTTAGTTAAATTAGTGACCCTAAAGTTAATGCAACTTCGCTTTGCTGAAGACTATATTCTTTCTTCTCGGGTTTGTAATGTACATGCCTGCATATAAATCTTTCGTAAAAAAATATCTTACTAAGGCCCAACCGAAGCACGAACTTTGATAGACCCGTAATCGTATCGTCATCGTCAATTTTTGTATAGAAAGAGCTAGTTCGTTCTTACGCCCGCTAGGGGCGCTGCTTAGTTTTCATAGAAACTTTGACGATGCGAAACGACGACGGAGCTACCAAAGTTCGTGTTTGGCCCTCAGATCGTGAAAACCGCATCGAAATCTGTTGCGTGGTAGACAGACGCGAAAGCGACTTAATTTAATATAAAGTATAGGATAAATTGCAAAAGTATGAAATGAAATTATGATTTCATTTATTCGTTTACTTATACATATGGCGACAATGCGAAATAGCTAAATCAATACCCAGACTTCGGTGACGCTTCACTTAATATGGCACATATGGCATTTTTTTTGCTAATAGCAGTTTATCGCCTACTCATATTTTCAGATTTATTATTACAAAAAATGCATATTTTACCATAGTAGAAAATAGTTATGATTTATGTTTAATAAGTACAAGTTGTTCATTGGGTTTATCTCGACTTGTGTACTAAATGTAGATTATAAAGGTTCGCGCAAATTTAAGTTTATCAATGAGTTAATGATTAATTTACCTAACATTGTATCTGTAACTAAGTAATAAAACTATTATGACGTTGATAAAATATCCGTCTACTTAGTAAACGGTCAATAAACTCATAGAAAATACTGTTGTGAAGCGAAGATAATAAGATTTTGGCTTAGAAACAATTCAAACGATGTACTGACTGAATTAAACGCGCGTTGTCAAGCAGAAGCGATGCTTGACAACGCGCGTGTAATGAAGTACCTATTACTGTTTAAATGGAATTGAAAGAAATATGGGTTTATTTTGGTTTTTTTACGTAATGAATTTAAAATTTTATCAATTTGAAACAAATGCTCACCTTTTGGTACAGCTTGTTTGGCTTGAGTGTAGAACATCAAATAAAGACCCGAGAATGGAGCGTCCCTAGCCAATGTGGGGCCAAGACCGCAAGATAAACCTCGGATACCTTCCGCTTTGTAGATTGCTTTAAGAGCTCCGCCGAGGCTATCATATTTATAGACTCCAGATTCATACCTGCAAGAGAAACAATTTTATACTAATTTTTTTACTACACTACAAACAGTTTATTAGATATTTGATAATAAAAATGATTGCAACATACGTACTCAGTATTTATTTGACCATAGTAAGATATATGTTCAGTTCATCGACGAATGTATGCAAAGTTGTGTGACATTGTAATATGTAAGTAAATGCTAAATCATCCATTGGTGAATGGTTTCAGGCTACTGCGTCGCCGCTATTATAATTGATGCAATAATACAATGACATACACTGATGTGTTCATATCTACAACCATTTATCAGGTCATTCTATTGTACTTAATTAAGAATTCATGTATATTTACTGTTTGGTAGTGATTTTTTATGCGTTTTGACTTGTATTCTTACCTCGTTTTGATGACTGTAATTGGTATCAATGCAACCCCACTCATGGTTCTAGCCATAACCCCGAGTGCAACTGCTTCCATTGCACCTAAATCTTGATTTCTAGTTTTTCCCATCTTGACTTTCAACCAATGCAGGGAAGAGAAGTAAAGGCCAACCCCGGGAACGCAACGAGCAACTGAGGGTACCATGCCACGCCATAACCCAACAATATGCTCGGTACGAACAATATTGGCAAAGATCGAGATCATGCCGGGTTGGATTCGGCTACTGCAAAGAAATGACAAAAAATTTAATAGAAGAAAAATGAAATGAAATATTTTTTTTGAATTTTTGGTAATAAATATTCTAATGAAATCTTAGTCAAACGCAACAGTGTTATCATCAGAAACTTACTTGACAGTCGTCGCAATAACATTTTGGGTAGGATTCTGTAATCTTGTCTTCACTAAATCCAATGGTTGGAACAGAATTGTACTGAACGTGCCAGAGAAGGAGCCGGCAAGGAATGCCTTGAAGACAGGGTGGTACTGTGGACAAATAATAAAATAGATTATGAAATAGGCGTACCTTTTTAGGCGTAGTTTTTAGATACTCTTTGACCTATTAGTATTTTGTATGATATGACTTAAGAATGATAATTCTACGTTTGTTTAACTTACATTTGCTACAATATCCATGATAGTTGAAATATCTCTCACAACTATCGAGTTCTTGAATGTCAGGTGATATCTTTCGGATAAACACCGAACTTGTAGTACTCGAAATGGTACAGCCAGTGGCAAAATGAGCGTTTTAGACGAAATGATTTGGTGTATAATCCTAGATCGTATCCGAATAGTCCGAATAGTATATAGGGTTGACGCGGAACATTAGACAAATGGTCATTTTTTGCAGCAGTTCGCTCGAATAATTCATGTATACAGTTGCCAGATCGAATCGTAGTGATTTTATCGACCACCACAATATGCCGATGCACAGAAATTTGTTGCGCACACTTTCAAACTATGAAGAGTTCTCTTTTAAACACACAAATAATTAATTGGGAGACAAGAAATCGCAATAATTAATGAATTTAGCCATTAGGAAAAACCAAAAGTAAAATTAATGCAAAAAGCTAATTTTTAACGCGGATTCACGGAGCACCAAGACGTGTTAACAGAAAGACTTCTGGGAGCGCACTGAATAGCTGATAACTGTGATGCGATAAATATATGTACATTTATAGGCGTTTGCTATCGGTTGCAGACGCCCGCCGCGGGTGATCGAAGTGGTAAAGGCGTAAGGTCGCATATATCAACCCCTGATAACGACGTATCCGTGCCTACTGACTAGGGGGTAATGATAAGGAAAAACTACTACACAAAATGAGGAACATTTTCTCATTAACACAAATGTGCTAATCACAATGTAATAAACGAAAAAAAAACGCTGTTACTTCTTTTTACATGACACACTAGTTACACAAATATATAACAATTTTAATTCAACCCCCTCAATGCGAAGCAGAATAAATTCAGCAAGCATTAAATCAAAATTTTACAAAATCTACAGATCCCCATGTAGTGATCCCCACATTAGTGGGCTATTGTGTTGAAATTGGATTTGATGTAATCTGGGCTATGGTAGGAGACTACCAGGGCACCTGTCTATATTATGGACCCCAGACTGATAATGGATGGCAGGTAGTGAGTGACTAGCCGGAGACTAATGGGCTCTCTATAAAGGCCACAATAGTCGCTACTTACCAACAGCTAGCCACAAAGCTGCCTTATCATTTTATTTTTTGAAGTAATACAGCTATCTCTTTGGTACGTAATTTAGTGACGTCTTTTGTATTTATAAAACAAATGAATGATGTATAATTTAATAAGAAACTTCAATCAAATATGATTTACAGAAATCAATACATGTGCGTAGATGAGCTTTAGGTAATGATGAAACATAAAAAAATTTCAAATATGTTTTTAGTGGCACCAATGACCAACATATAACTGACAGCTGCACACAAAGACATATATTTTATAATAAAATTTGAAAAGTTGATAGTGTTAATAACACAGACAAGACAGCATAATACTGTGACAAGTATTAAATTTAATTGAAGTAGGTAAGTACTTGAAAAATTTAGCTTTAGTATATCCTTTCCTATTTAATTGTCCACAATTATATAAGAAAGAACTTCAATATAAATTAAAGAAAGGAAAGTAGAATGAGTAAGGCAATTAGGCACCAATTTTTAGGCATTCTTTACAGTGGATGACATTATTTTTTTTATTGATTAGATGAACAGATAAAGCCACAAAACTTATATACAATATTAATAATTATACTATTATAACTGTTTTAATATTCTGTAGCTTCTAATGAGATTTGGTTTATCTCAGGGTTATGTAACCTTTGCCCAACTTCACTCAAGCGACACAATGTATACCGTTATCTTGTCCCACTGTTGACTTATTTTCATAATGAAATTAATTGGTCTAACATTTTTAAGCAAACAGATAACATATGACAATTACCTACTCATGGGTTTGAACTGTGGAGGCAGACTAAAGCAAATTATAATTTATTTCAATTTAAAAAAAAACAGTCAAAGATACATAAAAGAATCATATTCCATAAGAAGTATAAATTAATTAATTTATATTTACATAGAAATATTTCAAGTCGTATAAAGTTATCATTACTCAAATTTGTTGTTATCTGATTATTTGGTAACGAACTGAAGTAAATAATATACTTACCTAATAAATTATCAATTTACTTAATAAGATCAAATGAATTATCATTTAATTTAGGAAGACCAAACTATTTATTTACTCAATATTTAATATACTTTTTGAAGACAAGAATATACGTTGTTGATGTTACCTGAGCCCAGGGCCCTATTTTACTCTCGTTTTCTAAGTAGGACTGCGTTTTCATTGTGTTCTATGACTGCCTAAGCCTGGTATGTGCAAAAACGGACGAATATCCCAGTTAAATGCGAACAATGATGCCATTTCATTAAGGCATTGCAGGAACCTTGATAAGGTAGGAATATTTTCTCGTCAGAGACAGCGTAAAGGGTCACGCTAGAGGACATTGATAATGATAAGGAATAAGACAAACAACTTCGCAGGGGACCACTTACGTCCGTTTCGGGTCTGTCGAGGTCAGTAGGCGGCGTAGTATCGATTGCCCAGCCGTTTGAAAATGCCTCTGGTTGTTGCGACATTGCTCCAAAAACACGAAGAAATAAACCTAAATTTCATGTTTATCCCTTTAACCTCTCGTGGTTTAACCACGGCATGGATAATAAAGTCGGCAGGCTTATTAAACACTAAGCACGATTACATTGAATATTTTTTTACATTTTAAAGGTTACAAATTGATACGTAATTTTTGGCAATTTTCGGATTGTTTTCATAAAACCATAACACTAACGAAAAATATAGCTGCAAAAGACTTTGTAAACAACATTTGACCAATCATCAAAGAGTTGAGACCTTTGGTATTACACTCTAACCAATCCAATACCGCGACAAGAACTCTTGTTTTGTTCAAAACAAAATTTATTTAGGTACAATGAAAACTAACTGAAATACATAGACAGGCTTATTGTCAATTTTGACATTTTGTCACAATTCTGGGAAGCGTTCAGGAAACTTAGAAATTTTAATAGTAGTATAGTAGCGTTTTGATTAATATTTTATTAAACCATCATGAAATGACGAGATTCTCTGCGTATACAGACTTACTGTCTTATATATAAAATTCTCGTGTCACAATGTTAGTTACCATACTCCTCCGAAACAGCTTGAAGATTTTTATGAAACTTTATATGCATATTCACTAGGTCTAAGAATTGGCTACTATCTATTTTTCATACCCCTAAGTGATAAAGATTGTCCACACCTAACATTTTTTTAGATTTAGGTTTTTTTTATTTTTTTATAATATTTAAAAATACATACAGCTCTAAATTTTCACCCTTCTATCACCCATATTTTTATGGTGATACGAAGTTCTCTGGGTCAGTTAGTAATATATATATATGATTATGGCGCGAATTTGGTTTTTTTTTAAATGTCTATATTTAAAAAAAAATGACGACACAAAAAAAAGGATAAGCCAAATGTGATAGCCGGTAGACCTTTAAAATATTTAATTAAACCTAGTTACTCGTAGTTAGTTATAAACTAATACTTAAATATATTATAATAAATCTTTTGTTCGTTGGGTTTGATTTATTAACATGACTGAGGTTATCACTTTGTAAGGAAGTTATCTTGCTTGCTGGGGGTAATAAGCACTCATCAAATACCACGCAAACAAATAATCACGTGACCAATGTATGATACCTACATGGTAAGGTACACAACGCACGTACTTTGATAGATCCATATTCTTCACGTTTAAACCACTGAACCGATTTGAATAAAATTTGCAAGACAGATAGTTTGAGTCCCGGGGAGGACAACAAGGGATAGTTTTAAGCTAGCAAGCATTCTTCAATGGGATGAAAAACGGGTGGCAGTTTATATGGGAAACTAATATTTCCACTTCCAAAAGACAGTTTGTTCTTGGTTTATTAAATATATATTGGGGCGCTGCTTAGTTGCCATAGAAACTTTGACGTTGGCAAAATCTATCAAAGTCGTGCTTGAGGTAGGTCATAGTTAAGTAACTTCATGGACAAGTACTAGCTCTGTGACTTTATGACACACTTAGGTACGTATATGTGTTTATAACAAAGTTTGTAGCATTGTGCTATACAAAATTATTTATGATACAATACCTAGATAGTAACAATACCTCGGCTGCTCTAAACTTAATTCAAGTTTAACTAGAAAAAATTCCACGCGGACCAGGCAGCAGACGGGACTCGAACCCGCACCAGAGATTTAAACATCAAGCAGTTACATGCTTTAAAAAATAATAATAATAAAAATTATAATTTAATTCAAGTTTTTCAACAAAATAAGGTTTTTCTGAAAAATCAATTATATCAGCAGAAGTGATTTTTTTAAATGTTTTTAACAGTGTTCTTTAACATTTTATACGTTTTAAACCCTGCTACCTGTATTTTGTAAATGCAGAGCAAAAATTGTTTTAACTTAGTTAAACTAATGATCTTTTTAGTTCTAAAGAAAAAATAACTAGAAAAAATTACACGCGGACCAGGCAGCAGACGGGACTTGAACCCGCACCCTTTGCAATCCGGGCGAAAGCACTGACCAATTATGCTACCGCGGCCCTGATGGCCGCGTCGAAATTCTTCTAGCCATTATTAAGCTGCAAGGCAACGCCATCTCTTCGCATTGTTGGTAACCCTAATTTAAACATCAAGCAGTTACATGCTTAAAAAATTAAAAATATATATAACTATAATTGCTATTTCTTCTTTCAAATGTTTAATACTTAGCATAATTGGTCAGTGCATTCGCCCGGATTGCGAAGGGTGCGGGTTTGAGTCCCGTCTGCTGCCTGGACCGCGTGGATTTTTTTCCAGTTATATTTTCTTTAGATTTAAACATCAAGCAGTTACATGCTTAAAAAATAAAAAAAAAAATATAATCTTTTCAGTTATTAACTAACAACAAAACAACATAATACACAAAATCACTTACTTGTCAATGATTTTAGATTTTTACATCTTTTCCAAAATTAATACCAAGAATCTTGCGACTTACTCCGACTTAGTTTGGGTAAGATTCATATTTGTGAATAATTTTTAATAGGATCACCTTAAATTATTAACTGGTTGATTATATTGAAAAGAAAAAAACACAAAATTAATAATGAAAAGCTTTTATTAGATATTAATAATCAATTAAAACACAACTTGAGAGAAAGTACACTAACTTCGAAAATATATTATTCTTTTTAATTACAATAGCTTTATTTATTAAAATGTCTTTGAGTTTGAATTTGGGGTGTTTGTATAGGCATAGGCTTTCTAGTCACTTCTGAAAAGGTCTGGATATTGTTGGCATGTTTTTGCTAGCTTCACTTATGAAATAGACTTTTCAGCCATGACCGCCTTAATGTTTGTTTGTTCACGTTCATGTTCCGGGCATATTGAGGGCTTAGTGGCATAATGTTGTCCCTAGCAAAGTATGCAGAATGACTCCGCTTCTGGAGTTGCACAACCAGCTTCAGGGTGGTCAAGGCCACAACAGAAGAAGGTCACTAAGAGGCTTAGAATGGCACTGGACCCGGGTATGACCAAATCTACAACACTACACAGTAGTTTACAAGTATTAAACATTTGAAATAAAAAAAATAGCAATTGTAGTTTATTTATAAATCTAAAGAAAATACTTTTATTAGATATATATGATTAACGCATATATGCAATATGCATTTGCATATAATTCGGTCTGAAAAATGATTGACAACACATAATAGTAGGTACTATAAATTATTGTGGAAGTCTAGGGTTTAGACAAAGCTATACAGTGCAGAATAGAAAAACTTTTTTGTACGCGTACTTATCGTTTATTGTACAGCTTGCTTTTGAAAAAGATGGTTAACAACAAAGTATTTACACTTAAATCTTCGATATAATAATAAATCTGTGATCAAGTTTGCACATACCTACCTAATGAAACTTATTTGTCTTAAAACTCTCAAAATTGAGTTGATAACCCAGAGTTTTAGTAGCGCTTGAACGATATTTGAATGTAGAAGAACAGCGGTAATAGTTATTTATGATATTAGTGTGGTAAGTTGGATCAACTGCGCATCCAAGGAGGTTCGTTCGAAATTATAAAAACCCGTAAAGGATACGCACGGTGCCATCCGTAAATGCTTTTTTTTTAGCAAATTTGTTGAAAAAGTTTCGACACTCAGCATCAGAGACGCCGTTATCAGATAGACATTTTTTTTACCTACTTAGTTTAGTTAGACATATAAATAAAAACAAAAATGAAAAAAATAACTGCAAAGATTACGAAGCACATTATCATTTTTTTCTACAAAACATTTTGCATTGGTCTAAAGTGCGTTTTTATTAGGTTTTACATTATGCATGACATTTCGAATCTTAAACGGGATCAATGGTCGCAAGATATGTTTTGTATTGATTTTAGCTAACTACCTTGCAGAATATTTAAACTTATTCGGAAATTAATAATTGCGAGGTCTTTCTCTTTTCATCTTATAATTACCAATCAACGAATTACTAAAAATATTAACTAAATGCACTTCCTAACTTAAAATTACTTATCTATACTTATAATAAATCTGTAGAGTTTCAATATAACTATCAGGGGGTGATTAATGATCGATACTGATGCCAAAAATGCAATCAGTAAAATTTTTGTCTGTCTGTGTGTATGTTCCTTATAAAAACAAAAACTACTCGACGGATTTTAACGAAACTGGGTACAATTATTTTTCATACTCCTGGGCAGGTTATAGTATACTTTTCATCACGCTACAATCAATAGGAGCAGAGTAGTGAAGGGAAATATTGGGAAAACGGGATAAGTTACTCCATTTTTTAAGCTTCCGTCGCGTGTGCAGCCTTAACGGTTAAAGTTACATAGAAATCATGTATGACGGAAATATTCTACATAAAATTGTCTAAAAAATATCCCGCAACAGCATATGTCTATCTTTTATGGTTGACTCACAATTACACATGTAACTCCTGATAGCTTAGCAGTTCGGAGCATTCTGATTATATTTGTTGACTCTTACGTTTATAATACTCTCATTCATCCCTAATTTAAAAAAGTTAACATTATTACCTATTCATTTAAAAAAAGAATCATAGAAATCGGTATAGAAACACCAAACTTATACATGAAATAAGCCATCGCGCCGTCGCACGTGAATACTGAATCATGCTATAAGGATTATTTTTGTGTAACGGTTGCCGCGCTCGACACGGGTCGCGGCGGCGGTAGGTATATAAGAAGAATGTCATTGTGTATAATACAAGCCTGAGAACAATAACTATAGTCTACACTTCAGCTCTACACCGAAGCGAAGCGAGGGCGGGCCACTAGTAGTACCTATTTATTTGATACAATCCATATTCTTTAACAACTGTTTGTATATATTGTAATGTTGCGCTACAATAAAGTTTTTCTTAAGCGGCAATGTACGAGTAGGTACATCAATGTACCCAAACACGATAGGACTACCAGCAGGCATTTTAGATTCCCTCATTTAGTCCTCGTCATCAGAAGAAGTGAACAGAACTTGATGGGATTGCTAATATGAAATCCAGGGTTTCGTCGCCCACCTTCGAGCTCGCACTGCACAAGCTCCTTTTATGTTAATACGCATTGGGGGGCCTCTTTCCTCACGATGCGTGTCGATGCAGGAGTATTGTCTGGTTTTTACTGGCCTTGTTCAGAGCATTAGGTCCTGCTCATTTCATCGAGCCTAGCGATGGATGAAAGGAGCAAGGAGGAGTCCCTGATAGGTATCAGGAAAAACCACCGGGAAAGCGAGATGAAGGTTCATCTCGCTTTCCCGGTGGATGAAGGATCCGTAAGACATTTTCCGGGCATAAAAAAGGTTAATCCGCTACTGGACACACCACAAAAAAACAACGCATCGATCGTCATTTACTCATTATGACCATTCTTATGAGCCCAAACACGCTGTAAGTAGCTAAAGAGTTGAGTCCTTGATGCTGCGCCATCACCTGAAGGTTACCAGGTCTAAACCACCAAACTAAAAGTGCATCAAATTATAAATCAAGTAAGACCCATTTTTCAAATGGAAATGAGCTGATGATCTTCGAACCCCTGAACAGATCTTCATAAAATATAGCTAAGAACCATCTCGATAATGTCAGCTTCCAAATTAAAAAACGGCATCCAATTCGGTCCAATCGTTTAGGAGCTACAATGCCACAGTTAGACACAGACTCACAGACATGACGTATAACACCCCTCTTTTTGCGTCGGGGCTTCAAAATCGCAGAACACTGAAAGAGGTCCTGTGTTCTGTGATTATTACTGAGTTAGCTGTCGTGGAGGTAAGTAAGTAGTATTAAGATTAAAGTCTGTAGTGGAATTGCTCGGGAGTAGGGTTGCAACGATATATCGGAATATCGATATTATCGATAATATCGAGACCAAAATATCGATATTTATATCGATATTTAAAATTCACTGATATCGATAATATCGATATCGGAAATTCCAAAATATCGATATTTCGTAGACTTAATTTGAACACAATAATATCAATTAATTTACCTGCTATGACTATCTAAATTGAATAATATCGAAATAACTATTGCTTTGAAATTGCAAGAGCTTATAGATGTATTAAAAAAATCTTGAACCCTAAGAAATATACTAAACTGGTGTGGACTCTGGCATGTTTCTCTAAACCTAAAATTAAATTTGACAACAGTGTATCCTTGTCATTCTCTATACAGAATGAAAAGGAGAGACCGATGTTAAATTTAGTTTTAAATTTAGATAATCATGCCAGAATCGACACCAACGTATATAGGTATAATGGTATATCTAAAGGTAACTGATGCACTTAAATAAAATCCTTGCCTCTCTTTCTAGATAATTGTCAACTACTGATTAATTGAAATTTAATATCATTGTAATATAACTCAAAATAAAATTAAGAATCTTATACAAATCGTAAATTTTTTAAGCTCGCCAAGTCAAGAAAGTAAGATAGGTATAGTAATTTTGGAAGCTTTGGGCTTACCCTATTCTGAAGCCTGATGTGTAGGTTTTACTAATTCATAGCAATTGTTTTTCATATGATTATTTATTCTGATTTTGGCTGCGTGCAAATATTTTAAACAAAATAAATATCTTTGATTCGAAATTGCTTTTGATTTGATACTTCTTACAGCGCTATAAAAAATATAGTAAATATCGTGTTGGAAATGTTGGAATGGCTGACATATCTGATCGGATATCGATATTTACCTGCCCACATTATAAATATCGATATTTCGGAAACCTTTGCTTCCTTAATTTTAGGACTTTGCTTTGCAAACTTAATACAAAGCAAAAAAAAGAAAAAAATATCGATATATCGATAATATCGAGTTAAAATGGTCGATATATCGGATATCGATATTTGCCTGACTTCGATATAAATATCGATATAAATATCGATATTTCAAAAGACTTTGCATCCCTACTCGGGAGTAGCTGTAGAGATAAGTGAAGGGATTTTTTTCGAAATCAGCCGTTATCTAACATCCTTAACAAAGTCTTGGTCTGGTATATAATACGAACAATACTATGTTAAGACGAAAGAATACGTAAAAGCAGACGACAACGTAAAAGCTGTTAGTCGAAACGTGATGCCAAATTAAGAGTCTGTGCGGAAAGAGAATGGGCGTGGCGTCAAAGTTTTGTATTGATACGGATTTGTTTGTTGTTGTGATTTCTTGCGGTTTTTTGTATTTAATTATGTCTAAAAATACGGTAGTAAAGCACTACAGCGCCCTCCAATCTAAATCCCATTCTCTTTCCGCACAGACTCTATAAATCTATTGATGCCAGTCTACAGCATAGTTCATTATTTTGCTGCGTATTAGGAAACTGACAAAAAGAAAATCGTAGGTACTAGAAAATATTCCTGAACTTGAAAGTAGATTATTTATGGTACAGTTAAATAAGCCAAAATTAAATTAAGAAAAAAGAAACACGACTGCCATTATAAAAATGAGCTAAAAAGTCTATCGATATAACTATATCTATTTGACTGACAAAGGTGGAATGACGGCTTGAACACTATTTAACCCTAATTTGAATTAAGACCAGAGGGTTCAAGTCTTAGGCCCGTATTACAGAATGACAACTAAGAGTTGATCTTTACTTGAGTACAGTTAGAAAGGGATATCGCTATGTGCTATTTATAGCGACACTATGAATGCTCATGCGAACTATGCTCAAGACTAGATCAATCACTGAGATTCTTTCTATAATACGGGCCTTAGTGTATGAAAATCCAGTATCGTCTAATTTTATGGTGATGAAAAAAAATAAATAACACAGTCATTAAGTCACTTATTTATTCTACATAGGTACTTCCATGAAGTGAAAAGTACTTCACGAAACTTACTTAATTAATTATTTCTTACGCATCAAGTGCATAATTATGTAGATAACTATAAATACGAAAATATAGTTATTGTAAAGTATATAATATAATAAAATCATTAATCACAGTGTGTACTAAAATACTACAAACTCTGGAATGATTAATTTAAAATTTTATTTAAACAATAAATTATTAATGAAGGAAGCCAATTTTCCTTTCGTTTTACTTTTTGAAAGACAGTTTCAAAGCTCCTATGGAGCTTCAAGGCACAATAGTTTTTATAGTCGAAAACGTGTAATAATAAAGTAATTAATTACAATAATGATAATATAAATTGTACTGTTTAGTAAAAAGTGCGATATTTTTATTATAACATTGGCACATAACAAGAATAAATAAGCATTTTTTACGAATAGTCATGTTTCAAATTTACGTAGATTGCTATCTGATTTAAACTTATTAAAATATAAACTAAAAAACCCCATTTAAGGTTAGTATCATCAACATTGTAACAGCACAAAATAATAAACTCCAAATTAGGAATGACTTCCGGAATGATTATTATATTATACAAAACTAAATGCTAAATTATTACGAAATAATGACTGAAAGGATAATTTTTAAATATTATAAAAAAAATTGACACTCAAAGAGATTCGCAGTCCACATTATTCGGAATGGTCCATATAGTAATCAAATATTCTAAGTAATTAAGTGGAATTCTAAGTACATACTGAATCTATTCAACGCTTTTTAATTGAGATAATCGTCATTTTAGAAATATTTAATATTCTAACAATCTAGGTATTTTAATTGTACAATTTTAAGCAAAACTCATAGTCATATTCTAGTCATATTAAAGAGCTTTGAGTATCTAAAAGATACCTATATCTACTAGAAATATAATAAAGTCTCACTTAAAAAAGAAAAACGAACAACGTGTTAAAGCAAAAGCTACGCAATTCAAAAAAAAGAAATTAATGCATTACAATATGACATTATCAAAATAACCTGCCTGAAAAAATGTTCCGAATAGTTTTGCCTAAAACTGTTCTCATTAAAAAAACCTTGTCAAACATTTTTAGAGAAAGAGGTTTACATGTGTCGTGTGTTCCCGAAATTGATACCGCTCTGTGTGGCACCCTTGTTTGATCCGTACTGCAGAGAGATGACGCCTTGGCCAGCTCGCAGCTGTTCCTCCGTGAAGTTCCTCACGTTTTTCTCAGCCTCTTTGGGACCTATCGAAGGCTTGCCAAAGTTTCCGGCCTGCAATAGAAGTAAAGAGTATTCAGTAAGGCTACACGTTCTTAAAAAATCATTAGTAGGGCTAACAGAATCTGCAGTTACCTACATAGGCCGTATACAGAAAGAAAGCCGAAAGCCGATCGGCGCTTATCGGCGCCTATCGGCGCCGATCCTTCCTACATAAAGGAAGCCGATTAAAGCAGATCAAGCAAAATGTCGGACTCATCGGACGATGATTTGGTTTTGTTAGAAAATATTTATTTAAAAATGCGAAAAACAGCTATACATCCTATAAATTGAGAAAGGAAACGTTTCGGAGAATACCATCATTTATTTGTAAAAAAAAAAAAATTTGATGAACAAAGATTTTATACATATATACAAGAATGATTCAAGAAACATTTTATTACATTTTGGATTTAGTGAAAAACCGTTTGATGAAAAATTGGGGCAATTGGCATAAACAACCAATCCTTCCAGAAGAAAGACTTGTTGTCACCATTCGGTAAGTACGAAACAAATAATTTTAGCGCTTAGTTAATAAAAGATAAAGTTAATAGATTTATAAAAAGATTATAACTTAGATTGATTTAATCTAAGGATAATAATTCATATACAAATTATTTATTATTCGGACCAGCGCGTGGTCCATAGAAAAAGGATCAGCGTCAATAGGCGGCGATAAGCGCCGATCGGTGCTGATCGGCGCCGATCGGCTTTCGGCTTTCTTTCTGTATACGGCCATAGAAACTATAATTGTAATGGATTTTGGGTAATTTATTCGAAATGAGCAACGGTTGATTTGTATAGTTTGTCATGGTAGGCCCCCAATAACTGTGGATTAGATTTGAGAATGACAGTTAGAGCACCTTAAAGTTTTCAAGGCGGAATCAATATGTCTTCTTATGATTTATATTAGCATTGGCTTATGTTATTAAAATTAAATTACCCCTATTGTACCTTTTCCATAAGTAAAAACAGAATGTACAAGTTGCTATTTTCTGTACACACCCGCGCCATCGAACATTAATACCGCCGAGTAGCCCTTTTACTTTTTTTGCGTTTACTTGTTGTTAACAGGTAGTCCACCGGTGAACGCCGCGATGGTATTTTACTAAAGGCCCAGTTTTTTCAGTGATGTGCTCTAGCGCCCATGATCTACTCAGGTCTCATGTGTTGCCGCGCGGTCAACCCAAGAAAAGCATGTAAACAGAGTTTTATTATCATCTTCTTATACTTTTTTGGGACTTAGACAAGATGGGTCATAAGTTAACTCACTTCGCGAGTCCAGTACTTCTTGATAAGTGAGAGTGCTTTAGAACATAAAAGCAGATATATAGTCCAGTCAACAAGTTCAAAAACGTGAAAAATAGAGATAAAGGTCCTAAAAATATGAGCAATAGCTCATTGGATTCGGAACGACCTCTAGAAAAATGAGTTTTGAGGATTTTACTGCACGTAAAAAATTGCAATTGTTATTAACAAAATAAGATGAAAAAAAAGAGGTATTTACGTTTTTGTTAATAACTCATAAACTATTAATATTTACGATATTTGGAAAAAAGGTCCTTAAAGAGGAGGAAATTTTCGAAAAAAAAGTCCCAGCTCCCGGAACTCTACCTCTATTATTTATAATTTTAATTTAACGCTGAAAATAGGGCTCCGCGCAGCCATTACGGCATGGGCGCACTGCCGTTAAAGACAGTTTCTTACATAAAATTATTTTTTTATAGTAACAAATATGAATTTAAAAATTTAAATAAATTATGGTGTCATCCAGATACTTGAAAGAATATATTCCCGTTGGAAATTTTTTTTAAAATTAATTTTTCAAAAAGTTATGCAATTGTTAATTAACGAATTTTTTTCCTATCTCCGTTTTCATAAATGACGACATAAAAATTTAAATAATAAACCTATAAATTTTTGGCTCTGTAGAGCTCTTCTTATATATATACTTAACAAGATCCCGCGATAAAAGTTTATTAAAGTTAATTATTTTGTTTATAACAATTTTTTAAAGTTAACAAAAAATGAAAAGTCTAAGAAATGTTATTAAAAAAAATTTTTTAAACAAATGTTATATTATTGCTGCTTTCTTATCCAACAATGGCATTAAGTAACATCGGAAAAAAATTTTTTACGTCATTTTTTAAGAAATTGTTTATAAACAAATAGACAAGTTTAATATTTAAAGATTTTTTTTTTACCATTATGTTGTCTTGGCAAAATAATGATTTTAAAAAAAAAAAATTTCTTAAATATTTTTTTTTTATTGTTTATAATCGTTTTTTTTATATTTCGATTGTTTAAATAATTAGTTAAGGAATGATTTTCTCTTTAAAAATCATAATTGGCATTTCTTCATAGGTAAATAGAAAAAAAAAATTTTTTTATCAATAATTTCATTGTTTGTTAACTTAACAATTTGTTATAAACAAATTCTAACTACCGTTATATTTTTTTCTAGAGCTAAAAAAAATAACAAAAACAGCCATATATATCAAAATACTAAAAAAAAAATTTTTCTATTTTTTATAACGCTTTTAAATATTACACGATACCAAAGTTGCAATGGACACTTGATTTGTCAAGTAAAAAATTAATATAACTTATAAACTATTCGAGATACGATAATGGACATTCAGGTCGTTTTTATAAAGCATTAATTAATCTTCAAAATAAGCTAAAAACTAAGTTTGTAACTATTGTTTATCAGCTAATACATGCATTTGTTTATAAAATTTTGAGATTTCTTTAACTTTTTCGTATCTCTTATGACTTACAACTTAAGAAATAATTAAAATACAGCTATAAACCTTAAAACAATTTTGTTTAGCGATACATTATCTCCCAAATTATCAATTAATCGTACCTCCATCTCTAATTGTTTAAACAATAAACGTGATTTAATTAATATTTATTTAATATTTATCTAACACTTACCTTCATTTTGTAATTTTTTAATTTTCTCTACATTATTATAAGTTATTATAGCTTCTAAGTGAAACTGATTTTATCATTTATTTAAATAAATAGTTTGTTCGATGTCATTAAGTATTTTTTTTCATATTTTTTGTAGTTTGATCTGCCGTATCTTCTAAATTTTTACATGTTAACCATATTTTTATATAGTTACAAACTTGGTTTTTAGCTTATTTTGAAGATTAATTAATGCTTTATAAAAACGACCTGAATGTAAATTATCGTATCTCGAATAGTTTATAAGTTATATTAATTTTTTACTTGACAAATCAAGTGTCCGGTGCAACTTTGGTATCGTGTAATATTTAAAAGCGTTATAAAAAATAGAAAATTTTTTTTTTTAGTATTTTGATATATATGGCTGTTTTTGTTATTTTTTTCAGCTCTAGAAAAAAATATAACGGTAGTTAGAATTTGTTTATAACAAATTGTTAAGTTAACAAACAATGAAATTATTGATAAAAAAAAATTTTTTTTCTATTTACCTATGAAGAAATGCCAATTATAATTTTTAAAGAGAAAATCATTCCTTAACTAATTATTTAAACAATCGAAATATAAAAAAAACGATTATAAACAATAAAAAAAATTATTTCAGAAAAAATTTTTTTTAAAAATCATTATTTTGCCAAGACAACATAATGGTAAAAAAAAAAATCTTTAAATATTAAACTTGTCTATTTGTTTATAAACAATTTCTTAAAAAATGACGTAAAAAAATTTTTTCCGATGTTACTTAATGCCATTGTTGGATAAGAAAGCAGCAATAATATAACATTTGTTTAAAAAATTTTTTTTAATAACATTTCTTAGACTTTTCATTTTTTGTTAACTTTAAAAAATTGTTATAAACAAAATAATTAACTTTAATAAACTTTTATCGCGGGATCTTGTTAAGTATATATATAAGAAGAGCTCCACAGAGCCAAAAATTTATAGGTTTATTATTTAAATTTTTATGTCGTCATTTATGAAAACGGAGATAGGAAAAAAATTCGTTAATTAACAATTGCATAACTTTTTGAAAAATTAATTTAAAAAAAAATTTCCAACGGGAATATATTCTTTCAAGTATCTGGATGACACCATAATTTATTTAAATTTTTAAATTCATATTTGTTACTATAAAAAAATAATTTTATGTAAGAAACTGTCTTTAACGGCAGTGCGCCCATGCCGTAATGGCTGCGCGGAGCCCTATTTTCAGCGTTAAATTAAAATTATAAATAATAGAGGTAGAGTTCCGGGAGCTGGGACTTTTTTTTCGGAAATTTCCTCCTCTTTAAGGACCTTTTTTCCAAATATCGTAAATATTAATAGTTTATGAGTTATTAACAAAAACGTCAATACCTCTTTTTTTTCATCTTATTTTGTTAATAACAATTGCAATTTTTTACGTGCAGTAAAATCCTCAAAACTCATTTTTCTAGAGGTCGTTTCGAATCCAATGAGCTATTGCTCATATTTTTAGGACCTTTATCTCTATTTTTCACGTTTTTGAACTTGTTGACTGGACTAATAAGGAGGTGGCGAATAAAACGGTATAATTACATCAAATTAAAATTAACAGGAGCAGTAAAAAACTGAATGACATACCTACAGTGAGCTTTTGGCGTGATTTTTAATTTTAATACTATTTTAGGCAGTCTTGATTGATATGAGTTGAAATTCAAATTCAGCTGTCCCAAAACCTCAGAGCTGTTAAAAAAAAGTAGTATATGGTCAAAATCATGTAATTTAATGTTTTTAATTTCAGTTTTTTTTTTAATTTTTTTTTTATATTTTACTTATAATTATTTTACATCAATCCAAGATTTTTCGTAGTATGACTTTGTTTTGCGATATTTTTGCTTAATAGTGCTGTTGTGTAACATCTTTAATTAAGATTGCACTTGGTTTGTTTCCACATTGTTTGTAAGATATTTTATAATGAGTTGGTGTTAATCTTGTTGATGTTAATAAATAAATAAAATAATTATATGCGTAATTATTCCGTTTTGTTCGCCAGCTTCTCATAATATCATACATCCCCTCCGGGAGCCAGTGGGTTGCTGTGGGAGCGCCAGCCTGCATTGTACAGTTCCTGTGATGGGTGGTGCCCTTTTTATCCGAAGCACCGCACATCGGGGCGGGGGGAAGTCCGGGACCGTGCCAGTGTATAGCCACTCTATCAGGCGCCGTAACATCCCCGCACTCCCGTGACCGGTGCAGGAGTTTTATCTGGTTTTTACAGGGTAGGGCCTTGCTCATTTCAACGAGCCTTTGAGCTGGGTGAAATGTGCGGGTAGGTCTTCAGATACCCTGTTCACGCTACTCCTGGTTGTTCAGGGAGGTGTAACGCCTTTTCAAGATATAATATAAAAAAGGTATCATGAAACCTAAGGGCGCTTTGGTCGTCAAGAGATGCCTTTAGACTATGCGAAACCAACCTTTCTCCCAAGAGATTGCAGGCAGATCACAACCGAGTTGAGGTTCTGTCTCTCCCACAGGTCGACGGTTTGGAACGTCTCTTGCGCGGGTACTCCGAGGTTCTTGGCCGCCTCGAGGAACGCGTTGATGTTCTCCATACACTTGAACGCCATCTTGGACTCGTTGACCTTTTTCACCATGGCAGGCTGAATGTTGTTTACCAACCTGGAAAGGTAATAAAAGAATATTGTTTTAAATGCTAGTACTCTTTAGAATTTTTGCGTATTAGTATTACAGTAATTGCAACCGATATACCTTGAAATTTTAGTGTATTACGTAAAAAGTGGATAAGGATATCATTAAAATATTTCTTACTGTTTTTTTAAATTATTGTAATCCTCTAAACAATAACGATGACCACGTTGTTTCATCTGTAGTTAAATTTGATTAAAGTCAAATAGTTTCACAGTAAATGTGTAAAATTTTGATGTGTTTATTTATTCTCTAGTATTATAACAAAAATCAAATTTAACTAAAGATGAAACAACGCGACCAATACTTATAATTCTTTACAATCATTTCCAAAAAGTATTTTTCTTCGTCAATAGGTATCTACTATTAATAAATTTCAGTATTACACGGCACATATTTTGCGTAACAATCTTCATAACGATGAATCATTTAAGTCGTTATGAAATAAAATTTTATTTAATATGTCTGCCTACGTTATTTGATTTCCCATAGAGAGCACTTAACAAATGTTGGATACAGTACACATTACAACGCACACCAGGCATGACATCATTAAATGTGTTGTCATTGTCCTCCGGCTGATGTATGAGACTGTTAAAAATTTAATCATTCTTTATACCTACATGAAGCAGAGTTAGAGAAGGATGTTTAAAATTTGATAGATCTTTAAAAATATTAAAAATATCTAAAACAAAAACTTCTACAACATTATAAATGAACAAATATTTTTTGTTAATAAAAACTCAGATCACACAATATCATGACATTGAAATGCACGTTGTACTTACATTGAATTCAAGATCCCAGTCAGGGAAACTACAATACTGCGTATAAGAGCACATTTGAATAGTTAATTGATTCTGACTACAGTAAAATGTTTACTAGATTCATTGTATCATAAAATTACCAGATAAACTTACGGCTCAAACAAATGAAACGGCATGCACTTTGAACATGTTTTGTGATTCTATTATTTATACCTACGTTATACATTAAAGTAGTACCTAGTGAATATATATTTTTTTAAATGCCTATGTGGGTCGACTGTTTAAGAAAGATGAAAGAACTCACTTGCAAAGAAGCGTGCCGTCCTTCAAGACCTCGTAGAAGTTGTCCATATCTCCGGAAACATTTTGTGGCTCGCCGGTGATCTGCCGTACCCACTCCAGGCATTCCTGAGCTAGTTCCTCGCTGTATTTGCTGTTGATCTGCAATACAAGAAACGTTGATAATTAACATCTTTTAAAAAAAACATATCTTAAGCGGCGCAGCAAAGTAAAAAGAAGTCGTGGCAATTAAAAACAATCTTGCTTCGATATCTCTTGCTACCGTGCCACTGCATTAATAAAGTCAGAATCAAGTCAGAATAATAGGAATTGTCAAAGAATTTCAATGCAATGGTTACTAGAAATAGAAGTCATATGGTCCTTTCAAGCAATTTCAATGCACCAAAATTTTGTATCACAAAATTAAAATTATTTTTAATTTAATATCAATCTTATTTACATTTATCCTGGGAACGATAATAGGTTAGGTATTTTGGATGAGAACTAAAATTCTAGTACCTACTAGAATGAAAAAAATGGTGACAAAGGTTTCAAGGCTCCACGGGGAAGCACAGGGAGGAAGTTTAGACTAACTTAGTGAACTGTTGAATCGGGACATTATACTGGCGGATCGGCTATCTTTGCAGTTAAACTTCACTCACAAATACGGAATGGGTAATTTGTTGAATCACGTACAAAAAAAGTTTTGTTTTTTGGAATTTTACTAACAGTTTGGTGATAGTTACAGAACGGGCTTACTTGTACATTATAGGTATTTACTGTATCAATATGAAGACAGACATCGTGGTGTAATAAGCAATAAATTTCAAATATTTAGGTAACGAGTTCTAGAAAGGTTATCTTACCGCGAATAGGTCGTGCTCGTAAATCCTTTACCGGTAAAGTACTTTGACTGGTCATTAGAAGTTATAATAGTACATCGACTTGACAAACTTCATCATGCTTTACGCATACTATATACATTTGTCACACGTTCCTATGAAATCAATGCGTGTTTTAACCCTATTGTTTGAATCATAACACTTTAAATTACGTCAGTAAGGACGTGTTATAAGCAAAAAGGTCAGAACTAAAAATAGTAACCTGGTGAATTCAATAATAATATTTGCATCAATTTATGTGTAAACCTTCGTAATTATTAATTATAAAGAATGCTTTGAAGATAACCAGAATTATTATACCTATGTTAATAAGGTCTTTGATTCTCGTACTTAGACGATGACGTAATTTGCCAGGGATTCCAGCGTGACTCAAACCTGCCGTCAGACGTTACCCGATAAAAAATACAAAAAGTTGTCCATGACGATGTTCCGAATGCCAAACTTATTTAAACATGTAATATGGTAGGTATCTATATGAATCAGTGCTTGAAGATATCGCAAAAAACTTTAATGAATCGAAACAAAATACAGCCCAAAGGGGAAGCCACTAAGTATATGATAAAGAACTGTGGCGAAGGCAGTAAATTTTTGAGTAGCACTAAACTTTAAAGAGTAAATCAAATAAACATGTGAAATTTTAGAATAATTTTAAATCTTTCTGACATAAATAAACATGCAAAACCATACCTATATATATATATATATATATATATATATATATATATATATATATATATAAAACATCGTGTAAAGACTGACTTTTGTCTAAAATACAAAATGTAATACTGAGCGGCACATTATAAAAGCTAAATCTTTGTATAGTGTGTTTTTGCACTTAACTTAGGTACGGTTCGCTTTTTATTATAAAGAATGGCGAGAAGTTAGAGCGTACATACAATGGATTCCTCATCTTGAAGATTTTCCATCCAGATAGTGACCTCTACGCTTTCATTGTTATTCAAAAGCGCTATCTAATTTGTGTTCGAAGACAAAGGAAGTGGACGATGTAAGCCGTGTCCTGTTCATACCGTTTTAGGCACCTGCCATATTGTTTTAATTGAATGTGGGACTCTGGCTAGTGCAACGGAATTTATAAAAACTGACACACGTGCTTATTAATTCTTAATTTCTCTTTATCATAAATACTTTCAATTCATTGGTGAACGGTAAAACTATCTGCTGTTGACGTTGTACCATTGTCCTTACAGTCTTCATCATCGTTATTATTAGTAGACTTGTTAACTAGCGTGTTACTATACATACAGAATAATTTGACACAGTAACGCCAAACAACACCGTTATCTACAACGTTCATTATGTTTCTATCGTAATGTTGTAACAGAAGGTCGTTGGGTGAGTTACTAATCGTGATAGCAGCTGCACATACCTACATAGTTAATTATTTGAGCTAACTAACGAATAAATTTGGTTCATTTTTTTATGTTGATTAATTTAATACTGTATCGTTATGGTGTTAAAATTGCGGCTTTCAATCATATTAAGTTTTTTATCATGTTGCATCAAAACCCCTTTCTTCGTGTTTAAGCGCCACCGTATGTTCAAAGAGGTCAAGATGGATATAAATTACGGATATTATGCCGGTAATGACATTAAGGCATGCATTCATTGCTAATCTTACCATTACGTACCATACACGGCTCGACAACAAAATCTGTTGTAACCATAAATAACTATGATTCAATGTCAACGGATTCAGAGGCATCGTTGCGTCAGACTTCCAGTGCTCGGCAATTTGTAGTCTAACACGTCCGTTTTTGGTCAATGATCTAGACATTAATTTAATCTTGCGCTAAGTGATAAACTTACTTATAAAAAGTGGGCAACCTTGCAAGGCATCGTCGACAATGGTCCGTTGACATGTAAGGAGGTTGGAATGGGGTCACTGAGTGAGGCTATCTCTTCGGTCGATGTGATGCAGCGTGTTACGTATTGTAAGAGAGCTTTTAAAATGAAGTAGCAACGATGAATGCGAATTCGAATATGGACTTCAATTAAGCTATAATAGCTACCTAGGGTTTAAAGTATCTTGTAAATATAGTATACTACATATTATAATAAGACTACAGAAAAAATATATCTTTTAAAGCAATTACAAGTGTAGTAAGTAGAACTCATGTAGTTCATAATTGATTCTAATAAGTAATATATATTTATCTGGAAACTATAAAAAATATTATTATTGTTCTCTGATAAAGAACTTTATGTTCCTCTTAAATTTCCAATACCTAATTGTGAGAAAATCATTTTGTGGTACATACTGCGGTAAGGCATGAAAGTTTTTCCAAGAACAAGATCCCGACCAAGATTGCGATTTGTGATATTCTATCTCTAATGCATTTTTTGGTTGAGCTTTATTTGATGCTCAAGATGCGCATCACTTAGAACACACTACAAGACGAAAGAGATGATCACATCTAATTAAGTCTGTAAGATCCTTACGGCCATAGGCATCCCCCCACGGGTATGAAATCCTCATGGATAGCCCATCAGGAGCATCTGAGGATTTCACACCCGTTCCCTCGCCTAGGAGGATAAAAAAAAAACGATTTCTTTTACACCAACCAACAGCGATTCATCAACGAATTTAAAAAAATATTCTGCCCAGCTTCTTTCTCCCTTGTCAGCCAATTGTTATTAATATAATAAAATAATTCATTTTCTAATAACTGAGATCTCTGACCGTTATACTTTTGAAATGATAGTAGACAATTTCTATGCTTAGCACCTTATGATGAAAGATGTAAATTGGATTAGCGTGACGTAGGTACAATAATCTGTTTATAACTTATTTGAAGTTTCGTGGCTAGCGAATAGGTGCAGAATAATAATATAATTACCAATGAATAAAAAATTAAAAATATTTTATACTTATTTGTTTCTTAGGTTTTCACGCACATCACTCATTAAATAAAACTAGTTTTATTTAGTAGCCTGTAAAGACAATAAATAAATAAAGTTTCGTGCATTAACCCGTAAAAACTAGTTTTATATTTTATACTTATTTAAAATCCTTCCATAGTTTTCTGTTTTAGTTGAAAAACCAAACCCATAATAAATGTTTTCAGTGGTTTTTGGGCGTTACGCAAACTTTATGATACCTATTATATATTTTTACGAGGTAATCTTAGGTCCTTAAATTATTTTATTCTAAGATATATGAATTTCAATTTATGAATTTCCTAATTTATTAAAGCATAGGCAATTTCCCGGCCAAAATAGTACTACAAACATGCCTTCTAAATCTTAGTTCAAAATGACAATTCCAAAAATAGTTCAGAAAGATGTAAGAGCTTACTGATTATGAAACCAACGAAGATGTCACAACAGACGAGGTCCTTTCCAAAGATGTCAGTATCAACTATCAATCGACTGAAATTGCATGTTAAAAAAATATTAAAGAGAAATTTCGGACAAGCGTCAATCAACGGCATATGGTGGCTTTTGAAAGTGACCCGTTTACTAAAGTCCTGCGTTAAGGCCGGGCCTTATAAGGCAAGGTTTGTGTTGTAACAGAACGGCCGGCGCTGCGCGTGAGTCACCGCACTAGCGTCTCAACGAATTAGTTAAGTAAGTAAACTCTTTAGCAATAATTGAACATCTGTTTATTACCTTTTTGAGGTAAATGTGCGAATTAATAGTCAAAATTAAGCTGATCATAAATATTTTCGTAGGTTTTAAAATACCAACAAATGTAGCGAATTCAGTCGATAAGGTTTTGAACAGTTCTTATTTGATATTTTTTACGAGTTTTATTGAACGAATTTTATATTAAAGAATATAGGCTTTTACCTTTTACTATGCTAATAGCTTTTGTTTATTTATATACTGCTGGTTGTATTTAAATATATTATGGCATGTGGCTACACACTACCATGCCGCTTGATCAAAAATCCTTCCGTTATGTGGCATGTTTCTCCAAAATATCTCCCCAAACACGGTCATTTGGCTTGATCAAGCCTATTTCATCAAGCCACTTAATCAAGTGGCAGGATGGTAAGAAAGAAAGAAAGAAAGAAAGAAAGAAATTTTATTTGTAACAACATGTGTAAGTAAGATTGTCAGATAATTAGCTAAGTACATAACATGTTGTGCCAATATCGGCATACAAATTAATTATTATTTATATTCATTATTATTATTCTAAGATTCAAATTACAAAAATGAAAAGGTCAATAATGTCAATACAATAAAAAATGACAATAAATTGGGCAAACACTTTAAATAATATGTCAATACTTT